TTTTCCATCTCAGTTGTAATCCCTGTGGGCTTCCCACCACCAAATCACCTATGTGCTATCACCATAGTCTAGTGCACTCCCCCCTCCCCTCCCATTTTTGATCCCATTCCCCACTCCACCCCTGTAAAATATCTCTGGTATATAGTTGTTCATTATTATCCCCCGCACCGGTCCTTTATGCTCCTGCTGTGAGTGGAGTGAAACCATCTGGTATTTTTCTTTTTCTTTCTGGCTTATTTCACTAAGCATGATCCCTTCCAGCTCCATCCATGCTGCTGCAAAAGACATGTGTTTCTCTTTTTTGATCACTGAGTAATATTCCATTGTGTATATGTACCACATCTTTTTAATCCAGTCATCTACTTTTGGGCATTTGTGTTGTTTCCATATCTTTCCTATTGTAAATAAAGCAGTAATAAACATGGGGGTGCAGCTGTCTTTTTGAATTAGTGTTTTTGTGTCTTTTGGGTAGATACATAGGAGTGAGATTGCTGGTCATATGGAAACTACATTTTTTAGCAGTTTGAGAAACCTCCAGTTTTCCATAGTGGTTGTACTAGTTTGCATTCCCACCAGCAGTGCAGGAGAGTTCCTTTTTCTCCACATCCTCGCCAACATTTGTTGCTGCTAGTTGGGAAACAACTGGTTTATAAGGTCTCATTTAAATTTGACTGTTGACTGGACTTTTGTTGGGAGAGTGAATATTTAATATTTTTATGACAATGAAATATCTCCTTCAGGTAAAAGTATGCTTTTCATGGGAAACAATAAGAATTGATAGAATCATGGACATTGGAGTTAAGGGAACCTGAGCTTTATTCAATTTTATCACACTGATTACTGAGATTAGAAAGTCTTTTCTAAATCTGTTTTGTTGTATAAGATAGAGAGAATAACAGCAGCACAGAGTTGCTATGAAATTAAGTGAAATAATGCAGATAACCCACAAAATGTGGTTATCAATGGTGTGTCTCTCCTAAAGGAGGGGAGAAGTGAAGAATAGTAGAAGACAGGAAAGAAGGTTAAGAGGCGAGAACGCGAGAGCTCCGGACTAGTCCCCAGCAGAGTATAGGCTGGGGGAGTGATGAAAAGGGACTAGTTAGCAGGTTGTTCTTTTAAGTGTATAAACCTTCTCACCCCAGTTCATGAGGAAACTTTGGATCTTTGTCACAATTAAGTTCTAACCTATCCTATCATTAAACTCTTCCTCCAGCCTCCAGAGCAGAGGTGTGTGTTGACAGAGAAAGGTTTATTTCTGACCTCAAGGCGCTAATTTACAGACAGTCAAACTGTTTTGAGCTCCCCATGTGGGCAGAAGCCAAGAATCACCACAGAAACTGGGAGGCACAGACAAAACATTGACAAAGGGGAAGCAGTGATGATTGCAGCAGACCAAAAAAGGCAGGGTCATCCATGGCCAGCTTGGGCCACCAGTGCAGACTAGGTCTCCTGACCTTCAGTCTCAGGAGTCAAGCTGTTGGGGGGGGGGGTGGTAACAAGGCCCACAGATAAACAACTCCCAAAACTCTTCCAGCTGCCTATCAGTTGTGCTCTTTGTCTCCTATCTCGCTCCCTTTTTGGCCTCTACTCCTTGGCCAAAGTCCAACTGAGCCCATTTTGTGACTTAAAGGTGCTAGTCAAGGATGGTGAGATTAATAACATTAATAACAATAATACAGTAGCGGAGATTTAGTGTGCCGGTTACCTTTGTACTCTCCCCAGATTATCTCATCCAATCTTACCCATCATTCTAGACAGCAGGTGCCAATATTCTAAGAAGTAATTCTTGGAGAGAAGCAGTTTGCTCAAGGTTTCAGATTGGCAAGAAGCGGGGTGGGGGCCTGCGTCCTCTTCCATCACTGCATTACTCTGCCCCTGGAGGAGCTTTAGGATGCATTTTTGGACATATGTGCCCTGGCCCGGAAGTTTGGCTGTATGGCAACAAGTCGTGAGGCTTTAATTCTAGAACTAAATCCTACCATGGGTGATTGTGAGACTGGCCCAAGTGAAGAAACCATTCCTGTATGAAAAGTTCAGAAGCTTTTGTTTTGCTTTTAGTTATTTTTCTGAGTCACTGGGGCCATGAAAGGTCTTGCAGGGGAGGAAGCAGCAGCTCCTTGCATCCCCAATAATGGGCCACACCCCAGTGTTCAGTGGGAAGCAAAAGGGCTCCCTCCCGCCTCCTCTTCTGGACTGCGAAAGGGCAGGGCCAGGCATTGCACAACCTGCTTACTTTCCTTCCATGTCCTTCCTGCCCAAGGCTCCCTGGCAGGTCAGTGAGCTTCAGTCTTCTAGCATCTCTATTGCAACTGCTGATCATTTCCATGGGGAGGCACCCGAGGTGAGGACTACAGGCACCTCTAACTCTGCATTGAGATGTGACACTACCTTTATTTGTCTAAGCATTCTGAGCTACTTCAAAGTCCTAAGTATAAACATTGCTCAAGCAACTTCACATTCCTGAGCTGAGGCCCATATCTGGAAGGGTTGTTCCAACTCTCAGTAATTTGTTTTAAGTCTGGCAAGAGACTAAAGTCCATGAGTGAAAAATCTGTCCCACCTACAGGGATTATGATTCAGCAAGTCTAGCATCTATGATAAATCTGATGTAGTGTTTGGACCACATTTTAAGAAATACTTCTTGAAGTGTAATGTCTAACCTTGGGACTGATATTTCATTCCACTTGGCATTTCTTTTGAAACTATCTTCTAAGTTCTTCATCTCCGATGTGAAGGTAAGTTCCCTAAAGACAAAACCTGTCCATATCCCTGGCAAGACCACAAGAGCCACATGGGCAGACATTCCAATATCTACTGACTAGGGCTGAACACCAGATAGGCCCCTAAGGAGTTTCTCCATGCTGATTTCAAAGCCTAGGTTCCTAAATGTGTCTGGGGGAGTCTGTGATCCTCTCTCTAGGACTGGAACAGCTCTGCACCCAGGCAGTGACAGTGAAGCCAACAACTGTTCCTGTCTGGTCCCGTGATTAATGGAGCCAGGCAAACTGCCCAAACTATCGGCACATTTCTCAACTGCTCTCCTCCAGTGTCACCAGCCAAGTTCTAGTCCATTTTCTTGGGCTGGAGTGGGCCAAGAAAACAGTCAAGTACATGAGAGTGAAGCCCTGGGAAGACATGGACGACATCCAAATCCCAGCAAAGGGGCAGGAGGTTCACTTTCCTACTCTTGCTCCCTGCCCAAATCTGGTGTGGCAAATCTGTGCTACTTCGACTGTACCTTGTACATAAGGGAAAGATGCTGCCATCTGTGGTTCGATATCAATGTTACAAGGACACGTGTTAAAGCGGTGCTTTTCCAGTCCCGTGGCCAACTAGGCAGCTGACATCTCATTCAAGTGACCTTGGGATCAAAATCTGGCAAAGACAAGCAGAAGCCTGAAGGAAGCTCTACAGCCAATGGGTACCAACTGCCTAAAATGTTATGCAGAACTTTCTGTTGTTAGTCAAAAAAGGCTTAACAGAAAAGTGTGTAGTATCCTAGTGTTTGCAGGGCAGAGGGAGAAAGATATACAAGTAAACAGTCATTTGCATGACATTCCTCCAGAAAGGACAGAGCAAACTGGTAACACTAGTTTTCCTCCAATGGGTACCCTGGAGTACAAGTGTGTTTGGAAGATGTTTCATTATTTTATGTTTTAGGGGGCACCTTTTGATTTTTAACCAATGCAATCAATATATCACCTGATTAAATATAATCGCATTCTTTAAACTTTGTTTTCATTTAGTATTTATTTAGCATATGCCAGGCACCAGAGTAGATTCTGTTCTCAAGAGTTGTAGTAGAGGGTGTGGGGGAGGAGTAGAAACAAGTCATCAAATCTTTACCCTTCAGTAAAACGAGAGGTCAGTTACACAAGCATAAAGAGAGGTCGCTGGCCTTGCTGGGATGGAAAAGTATAGAATCAGATAAGGTTTCTTCCAGGAAGTACTTTCTAAGTCAAGTCTTAAAAGAGTAAGCACAAGGCCAAACAGTTAAGAGCCAACTAACTGCCTGTAGAGGAGCCTGGACTGTGATGAGAGTCAGGCCACAGAAAAACAGGAGCACTGAAAGAACAGCACTCTAAACTACTTTGTATCAGTCCCTGATGTGAGAAAAATAGTGCACAGCGATGCAAAAACGACTAAAAATATCAGCTGCTGTGCTATTCCTACCCCACCCCCACCCCCGCCCTTTCCTCTAATTTCACCCACCACACCAGAGAACCCCACTGTGTAAGTGTGATAAAAGGAACTAAAAGAGCTGACATTAAATTGTGACATACAGTGCTTGGAAAAGCACATGGCACAAAGTGCTTTATAAACATTAAAGTCAAATAAAGCCTCGAGGAGACACAAAGCTTCTCAAAGACCTTCCCTAAGAATGCCCAGTGCCCCTGACAGCTCTGGAGGCAGGCCTACTGGAACTTGAACTTTCTTCCCGTTACATGGTTACTAAGATACCCGATATCCCGAAGCGTGGGCGAGACCCGTACCTGGAATAGCAGCGCCCGCGCGCTAGCCACCTGGGTAGCAAGCGCCCTGTAGCCTTCACTGCCTCAATTTCCTTGATGCCAAAACTACAGTAAAGAACGCGTGAGCCTCCTTCAATCCCTAGACCCAGGCGATCGGCCCAGAATGGAGAACGCTTTAAAGGGGCTGAGCAGAACACGCGTGCGTGGCGAGCAGGTGGCCTCCGTGCTCCAGCCGCGCGGTGACTAAGTGCAGACAGGTGCCCGCGGGCGCGCACTGCCCTGTCGCCACGCAGACCAGGGCGGACACGCCGGCCCCGGGCCTCCGGAGCTAGTGCCTCCGCGCGGCCTCCCTCGGCGCGCGGTGCCCAGCCCGGGCGCGCGGTGCCCAGCGTCACTGCGAGGCTGCACACCCTGCCTCCAGCGCGCGGTGGCCGGTGCCCACGCCGCGGGAGGGCGCGCGGTCCCAGGCGGCCCGAGAGAAGGGCTTCCTGGAAGCAGAGCCCGCGCCACTTGCCCGCCGCAGCTCACCAGTTTCCCGAGCCCACGATGCACACTTTCAGGGGCGCCGCTGCCATGGCCGGGATGGAACGCAGCTGGACCGCCAGTGCTTCCCAGGCCGGCTGCCTGCCCTCTCGGGTTTGGCCTAACCCGCAGCGGCTGCGGGCGCCCCGCCCCCTCCCGCCTCTCAGCCAATGGACGCGGCCAACCCCGCCCGGGAGCCCCAGGCCACAGCTGACAGCCGCGGGAGGACCCGCCCCGCCACTCCCGAGAACCACTGCGCAAGCGGGTGCCCGGGTGGGGTCTCGGGTCCCGCTCTGACACAGCCCCACCCACCTCTGCCGCAGGGCATGCCGGGAGTTGTAGTTCGCTCCGCTGGCGGCCGCGCGAACCGACACCGCCGCGCTCGCCGCGTCGCGTGCTGTCCCGGGTGGTTACGCAACCTCTGGCGCTCACTCTGGCGCCGAGACTGCACCACCCTCCCGGCAGAGCTGGCCTGACCCGGCTCTCTACCCACTGGTCTGGTCACCCACTCACAGCCTTCTGCCCACACGGAAAGAGCTGCCACACGGCAGCTGGAGCCTGGAGAGGATCTAAAGTTGACTTTCACGTCGACGAGACGTGGGCACACAACTTGAAGTGCTCACACAACTTGAAGTGCTCACCCCTTGCTCTTCAAGCCTCTGCTACCCAATAAGAACAAGACCTCCTGGCGCTCCTGAGCTTCGCAGTGAACGCGTGATCCTGACGCCCGCGGTCTGTACGGTATCTGCACTTCCGCGTGGCCACTGCTTCGGATCAGGCAGCAGCGTAGCCCTCAGCACCGGTGTGGCAGGGCGGGCCTCCTGTTTGTCTTTGCCCCAGGCCACCAGGGAGTTTGTGGTCTCAGGCTTCACTTCCCTCCTTCCTGACCAAGGACCGTTAAGTTTTTATTCTGAATGTCATTTTCCATCAGGCGCTCTGAGAGACACTGTGGGAAGAGGACAATGTGGTTTAAACCAGTGATTCTCAAACCCGCGCCTGAGAGCCTCTGGAGCTTTGTGTAATCCCCAGGCGAAGGCCTGCCCCAGCCTAGTCACGACACAGTCTCCTGGGGTGGATACAAGATCAGGTGTTTTTTTTTTTGTAATTCATCAAATCTATTGACTTGAATTTCTTCATTCTGTTTACTTGCAATCCCTTATTGAATGTAAGTGATGTGTTCTCCATTGTCTTCTTTTATTATTTATTTTTAAATTTTGTTTACACCACAAACAAATTTTTTTACATCATTCTTTATTTTGTGCATTTTAGGATCAGAATTTATTTATTTTTTATTTTTTAAATTTTTTTTAAAGATTTATTTATTTGTGCATACAGAACTGGGGTACAGGCCAGAGGCTCAGGGGCGGTGAGAGGCTTCACCAGAGACAGAGTGGGGAACAGAACAGGCAGATCCACGAAGTACATTGCTGAGGGGAGCAGCGGGTGGGTCAGGAGAGGTCTGCCACGCCATGTGGTCACCTCCAGGGCAGGCGGGAATTGAACTCATGCGGAAGCAGCTTTAGATTCTCAGTGCTGTGCTTTAACCCGCTGCGCCACCAGGGAGGGCCTAGGATCAGAATTTTTTAAATTCAGAAATTGAGAACCAGTCTGCTAAAATAACAGTGGAGACTGGCAGAAGAGACCAATACTCTAGTACCTAGAAAAGCTTTACAGCTCCTATTTCAATGCCCAGAGGATTAACTGTTACATTTGATTTTCAGCTTTGTACTATATGAAAGATGTACCTACATTACTTGTGATATTTACTTAAAGAAATATTTAAAGAGAGGGTGAGACACACAATTCTGTCTACCTCCTCAATGATAGCTTACTCTCAATCAAACATTTGCTTGAATGGAAAGATAGCTAGCTAAGTAGGAATGGTGTGAAAGATGGACTATTCATGCTTTCTTCATTTTTTCCTCTTGCATTTGTCTTATAAAATGGGTTTGTCAAATAATGACCTCATGTACTTGAGTATGCATGAATTGCAAAAATTTACACCAAGTGGTTGATTCATTTTCAGCTTTCACCTAAAAGATGTATACCTCATCTGGAAACTCCTGTCTCCCCGCCTTGCATGGGACCTGCTTGATAATGAGTTACCTGGCTATTCTGTGGCTGTAACCTCACAGCATCAGCATCTGTTGTTTAATCTATCACCTGCTTTGCACAAGGCATTGTGCCAGGAAAGACATAGTGAGTAGTCATTTGCTTTATAGACTGGTTAAGACTGAGACAAATTCCATGAACATAATGTTGTGAGAACAAAGCAAGAAAATGCATATAGTATGAATGCATTTCTGTGCATTCAGAAACAAGCAAAATTAAGTCTATCGACAGGGCTGTATACATACTTAGTAAAATGGTAAAAATTAGGGAAAGGCAAACACAAGACTGGACTATGGTTATGGTGGAGGGGATATATGTATACATGATACACACTTTGAGATCTCTTTTTAATGAACCAGAGGGGAGGGAAAAAGCTGAAGTACAAAAGGGTGAGGAAGGCCAATTTTGAGATGGCCAGCCTTCTGCCAGTCCCACTTCGGGTCATCTGAGATGGCAGTGTTAATGGTGTCGGCCATCTGCGTGCCACCTTCCCCAGAGGGCTGAACATCTTGCAAGAGAGTTAGTCTGTCTCATTGTGTTGTGATGGTGCTAACTCCTGGGGGACCTGGAGATGCCATAGAGTGCGTCTGATTCGGTGTGAGGAGACAGTGCCTCTGACAGCATGACTAGTATGTGGCATACCTGACAGCACGTACGCTGGGAAGAACTTACTGGGCAGCTGGAGGACAAGAGCATTTTAAAAACTCAGCCCAGAGGTCTCCTAAGCTCCCTTTTCCTCTTTCTTCAGATAACTTTTTTCTCAGTCTCTGCAGTGCTCACCACCCACCTCTTACCTTGTTGCACGACCCTCCTGAAGGCCTTTCTCACTTCTATTGCCAGGTGCCCAGGCCAGTGCTGTGTATAATGTAGTACAAGCACTTGCAGTCATCAGAGTCTCTTCTGGTTATCATTTTGTTGCCTAACAAACCACCTCAAAACCTCAATCTTCGAACAGCCACATTCTTTTTATTAGCTTCAGAATCCACAGTTTAGGTCAGGCTCAGGGGGAAAGGCCACATGGGGGCGGACGATCAAATGGCATTGGAGGACCCACTTCAAGGTGGCGTATTCACATGCCTGGCAAGGTGGTAAGAGAACTGCAGGTTGGAGTCAGCTGGAGAGAGAACTGCAGGTCTGAGTCCTCTCCTTATGGCCCTTTCTAGAAGCTGCTGCACCACAACTGCTGGGTTCCACCAGCAAGTAGCCCTGGAGAAACAAAGTGAAAGTTACTAGTTTCTTAAGACATGAACCCAACAATTATAGTGGCATCATCTCTGTTGTTTTTTTGGTCAAAAAATCACAAAGGAAGACAACAGTTCAAGGTGGGATGTGAACAGGAGACTTTGAGAGTGGTCAAGTAAGATAAGTTGTGTCTCCCAAGCGAGCAGAAAGCAGCAGGCTGCTGGCCGGCTCCTTAGGTGTGGTTGACCAGGCAGGGGCTGCACAACAGGAGCCTCTGTGCACATCCACATTGCAGATTGGTATGTTTCACAGCCATTTCCTGAAGATCATAGCTAGTGTCATGAAGGAGGGGTACCTTTTCCCGTCACACAAACACATTGTAAGAACTGGTCCTGGTTATTGGTGATTCCTGTGACAGTAGTTCAGTTTCAATATGTGGCAGAGTATAAACTCAACCTACCTTGGGTGGGGGGATAAATAGAAGACAAAAAAGGAGAGTTTGAGAGAATGTAAATAGTGTTTTCCAAAAGTTTGGCTGAGCAAAAGATGAAGATGGAACATGTGGGGAAAGAAAGGCAAAACTAAAGAGGGAGGGGAAGCCTACGAAGCGTTGTGTATCTTGTAAGGTAGAAAGGCCAGAACATGTTGGACGCTCCTAGGGAGGAATCATGGAGAAGGAAAAGTTGAAAATACAGAGAGGAAATAAAAGGGGGAGTGAGAGAGTAAGGGAGAAATTTGCCTTGAAATAGATGAGACTCTGAAGAGGGCACATCTGAATGAAATACAGGAGGCTGCCATGGCCAGACAGGGAAGAGAACATTCCAGAGAGAGGGAAGAGCAGGTGCAAAGGCCTTGAGGCATAAATAGCCTGTGTGTTTGGGAACACAAAGTTGTAATGCAGTGAACAAGTGTGTGAGAATATTAGTCGGAGATGCAGTCAGGTCAGTGTAATTTGTGGAACCTTGTGATCCATGGCTTAACAAAAAAACAAAACAAAACAAAACAAAATCCCCGGACTTTCCAGTAGCCAAATCTTAGTCAATACAAAATTCAAAGTAAATAATGGTCATGAATTTACTTGTTTTTAAAATGATTTATTTTATTTATGCATCGTGAATTCAAACTCTTGAAACACAACAAAAATTCATGAGATGAGTCTATGGTGATTTAAAGAAGTAAGTGAACACAATAGAAGGGAAAGCTCTTTTTGATAGAGTTTCTTTTTTTAAAGATTTATTTATGTATGTATACAGAACAGGGGTACAGAGGTCCAGGGATGGTGAGACAGGAGATTGGAACAGACAGATTGACAAAGTACACTGTTGAGGGGGGCAGCGGGTGGGCAAGGAGAGGCCATGTGGGTCCCCTCCAGGAAGGGGGATCGAATGCACACTAAAGCAGCTGCAGCTCACTTGCAGTGCTGCACCTTAACCCATTGTGGCACCAGGGAGGGCCAGTGGTAGAATTTTTTTTTTTAAAGATTTATTTATTTAGGCCCTCCCTGGTGGCGCAGCGGGTTAAAGCACAGCACTGAGAATCTGAAGCCACTTCCGCATGAGTTCGATTCCCGCCTGCCGCCGCCCCGGAGGAGACCACATGGCGAGCCAGACCTCTCCTGACCCGCCCGCTGCTCCCCTCAGCAGTGTACTTCGTCAATCTGCCTGTTCTGCTCCCCACTCTGTCTCTGGTGAAGCCTCTCACCGTCCCTGAGCCTCTGGCCTGTACCCCAGTTCTGTACGAATAAATAAATCTTTAAAAAAAAAAGATTTATTTATTTATTCATACAGAACTGGGGTACAGGCCAGAGATGAGGAGAGTGAG